AATGACTTGGAATCACTGCGGCGCCGCACCCACCACACCGCAACGGTAAGAGCGGAGTCGGTGTGAGCCTGGGGTAAGGCCACCAAAACGGATCCCCTCGACACCTTGGCTGCGCCTAGAAATTCTGTCCATGAAGGTTTGATAATAAAATGAAAGAAAGTTTGACTACAAACTCAAACTAATATTGTTTAGATAGCACAGTAACAGGAAACTCTAAAAAAAAAAATACGTTTTTAACACTGATTTGAAGCATCTTCGTGTTTTAGCACTTTTACATTTTTCCGGAAGTTTATTCCAGATTAGTGGAGCATGAAAACTAAAATCTGCTTCTCCATGTTTTGTTGTGGTTCTGGGTAGCAAGGAATCCATAGAGGTCTGGGTCTTGATACACTAACAACAGATCTATTATGTGGTTTGGTACTAAATCATTCTGTGAGTTATGGACTAAAAAAGAGCAACTTAAAGTCTATAACAACCTTAACGTTGGGCTGATGCGATCCACACTCTTGGTTTGTGGGCAACAGTATTCTGGATTGACTCTAGTTGTTTAATCAGCTGCTTTTCTTTAATCAACGTTGATTCTAATAATGATAAGCACATGAATTAGTTTTTCAAAATCCTGTTGAGACATTAGTCCTTAAATCCTGAAGCTGTGTGCTGATTTTTAAACACTCCTCCATTGGTCCAAAATTGATCACTTTAGTTTGATGTGATTCAGCTGAAGGGCATTTTGGAAAGTCTATGCATTTATCCATAGAAGAAATCAATGAATTAGTTTACAATCACCTGGTGACATGGTAATGTATATCTGCGTGTTTCCGCACAGTTATGGTAATTTTATGGTTGTTTATGAGGCGTTAAGAGGGAAATGTAGATACTGAATAGGATGGATGCCTGATTTGGGAACTCTATGTGATTTTTGTGGTCTCTGATGTAAAGTTACATACCAACACAAAAAAGGTCCTGTCCTTTACATAGGATTTAAATCAGGCAAGTGCTCTATCAGAAAGGCAGAGCCATTCTTCCAGGAGCTATAGCAAAGTGAGGCAATCAACATTGTTGACTGCTGATCTGATAACACTAGCACTCTGTTTGTTCCACAATCTGCATTTTTGTGGATGTATCTGAACACCTTGACAAGTCTTTTTGAGAGAAAAAGAATGGCAACATTTTCCAGTCTTTTACAAAGTTGTTTTGTCCATCTGGAAAGAAGGTGTTTGGACAGATCATATGACAGATGTGTCTAAGAGAGATTGCTTACAATAACAATCAAACAAACAAACAGAGAAGGTATTTTCATTTCTCCTCCATCTGCACTATGGGGATTGGGATATACAAAAAAGCCCGTTTCTACTCTCTGAAAATGTTGGTGGCAGCAAACAAGTCATAGGTTAAAAAAGGCAGTCTGCAGCTGTTTTGCACCTGTTCTGTT